GTTTTTCAATGTTTTCAAACACTTTTGTTCTATTAGTTATATATCACTTTGTGCACTATTTATTGTTTCAAAACACTATTGTTGGTCTTGGAATATGGATTATTTGAAGTTATTTGTTAATTTTTATGTTTATATAACTTTTGCACTGGGACACTTTGTTTTTTAAAATATTTTTGTGATGAACAGTCTATTTATCGAGGAAGCTTAAATGATGTTTTGGTGATGTTTTATGAGTTCATATACGCTTTCGAAGTTTACTTTTTGCAATGGTTCACCAGTTATTTTTTGTTTTATTTTATTTCTTTGTAAAACTATTGTATTACCGAGAAAGAGCCATTTTACTTCGGGACGAAAACGACTTTTTTTAAAAAAAACGTTGCCCCACACTACTACACAAACATACAAGTTCACATACACATGACACCCAGACCCGGAAAAATAATCTGTGGATCGCACAAAGAGTTGTTCCGTGCGGGAATCGAACCCGCGACACGTTGCGCGGCAGCCAATTGTCCAACCACCGCGCCAACCGTGCAGTCGAATTTCCACGGCGTATATATAACTGCTTACCGTATGAAGTCTCCTCTGCATCTACCAGTTTGTATTGGCTCCAAGCAATCAGGATCTGTAAAAATAACATCAGAAATACATAGTACGCATAGGTAGTCGCACTTGCGACCACTCGATCAACAAGGCAGTCGCAACGTAAGTAACTCAAACCAAAAAACCCTATGGTTATTCTTTTTTATGAGGTTTACCATACAATTTTTGTTTACGATGTGTGAATAAATACAACATAATGAACAATTAAATTAACTCGTCGAGTACCGTCATTATAGACACAATTATAGAACAATAGGTTGCGGTCACCGCTGACCGCTTGGTGTTTGACAGTTTAATATGGTTTAAAGTTGACGGCGTCAACTGAGCTAGCGACCAGTCGCAGTTGATGCCGCTCGTTCATGAACTGACCCGGAGTGATACCTTGGGCTCTTAAAAAACCTGTGTGAAACAACGCTTGCTTTGCACATGGTTTTAATTACGTTTGATATTTCGAAAACATAAGAAATATTTACTCACCTCTAGCGCCGAATATGTATTGAACGGACAATACCAAAAACACGAGGAAATATAAGAATTTCATTTTATAAAATAATGTAGTTTTAGTAGGTACTAAGTACAAAATATAAATAGAAAGTAATTATTGAGCTAGTTTCTCTTACTTATATATATCTTTTCTGTATCAACTGACAATAACTTATCCACAAGGTTGAACTCAAGGTGAGAATATATAAAATGAGGAAAGTTAATAGATAATAAAATAATTTTAAGTGTGGGAAAGCCTTGCTTGGGCACGAAGGGGCCGGCTCGACCGGAGTGATACCACATTGGGTACGATATATCAAAGTCTTAACCCAGACATGGGGTTCTTCAAGAGGGGAGTGAATAGGTTTCAAAAGGGTCGGCAAGACGCATGTGATGCCCTAAGTGTTGCAGGCGTACATAGGCCACGGTAACCGCTTACCATCAGGTGGGCCGTGTGCTATTTTGCCATCGTCGTGGTATAATAAAAATAAATACCTAGTATTGTTTATTTTATGACCATTGACAAGTAATAGTAAGGATACAAGAATACACAGACAGTGTTATCACTGATATCAGTATCTACCAGACAACCTTCAGTTAGACAGACATTATATTCAATTTATTTACACCGGGTATCAACGGTTTATGATAAACTTAAACTCCCCTTCCAAGCGATATTATGGCAAACCCATTTGTGTAAAGAAGGCTTATTGTCTAGAAGTGAACTGTTACACGATGTAAATGATGATGTTCAGTTCTATTTTTTTGGGACAAGCCTGCCACAACCTCCCGAAACCGCTGCAACTTCTGTAAGCCAGGATCTACATGCTAACACCGGAACACTGAAGTTCGGCGCGTCCCAGGGACATGAATCCCTGTCTTGGATCCCGCAACGAAATCATAAAGAAGATATTAATAGAGGAGAGGAAAAAGAAGTTGATTGTTATGTTATCATTTCGTAATAGTTATTATTTTGTACGTATATATTTAATAATTTCATTTATGGCCTCATTAGTTGGACCTTATTACCGGGCTGGACAGTGTAGTCTCTTGAATCATGTCCCAGGAATCCTTGTCTAGAATAAATTCAAAACTAAATTGCCCTATATAAGGCAACAAGCTCATTCCGTATAATGAAACTTAAAACATAACTGATGAACAGGGAAGGGGGGGGGGAGGCAAGTGATTGAAACACCGTTTGTTGGATAAACATGTTTATTATATTATTGTATTTTAAAGCCAAGAATATATTATAGGACAAATATCGAACGACAATTGTATCGGCGACTTGTCAAGCGAAGCCGGCCGAAGTCGCCTGACATATATGGCGACAACGCGCGACTCATTTCCACTGCGACGTTGATGTTGCTAGGCATGTCTACATAGTCCGGCAACATCGCACTACTCCATCCAACGTCGCTGGCGACTTGTGTCGCAACGCATTTTGTCTCCTAGTGTATCCTTGACTTAAATAACTATGAAAGTGAATAACAATAAGTGATTAATTTGAAACAATTTAAATGTGCAATATGATGTGACAATGGGCAGCCAAACAATTCTGTTAGATGCCAATTTGAACTCTCGAAGTGAGCTCGATCGCATTCTCGCACGTCATTGGTCGAGATTATTCTCAAGACTAATAACATGGGAGAACGTCATGGAGCTCAATTTGTATGTTTGAATAATCATTTTACATAATACCCAAGCTAGCACCACTGTTCGAAGGACTGATGGCTAATGGGCTAGAGTGGCTAATAATCATCGCATTCGTAACGTAACGTTCGGCGCTCTGATTGGCCGGCTTCAGTGAACCAACCAATCAGAGCGCTCGATGTTATTACGTTACGAATGCTATAGTTCTTCATGCTTGGCACTCAGGAAAGTGCTCGAGTTCGGATCAGAAGACGGCGTAGACAGGCCTACCGGTAGGTGGACGAACAACATCGTCTGAATCGCAAGGAGCCAAAAGATCCAAGTGGTGCCTTTGATCAGCAGTAGAGGTCTGATGATGATGGTAGTTTAAGGATTTATACATTTCTCTTCGCATTGTCTGAATGTTTGAAAATTGTTATTATTTGCTTGACATCCACCGTACACGAACGATTGGCACCTTCCGCTGGTTGTATTGTAGGCGTATCTGAAAAATACGTATACAGCTTTAGACCATTTCTGGTGCCTGAAAAAAAAACTATTTGGTACTAATGAACTGATTAGTAGGGTCATTATCGTCAGTATCGTCGAGTACCGTCATTATAGACACAATTATAGAACAATAGGTTGCGGTCACCGGTGACCGCTTGGTGTTTGACAGTTTAAAAGACATCCTCCTACTATTAGAAGTCAATATCTATCGGGATGATAAAAGGAACTTCTAATATTACTTAGATGATGTAAGAATGCGATAAACACAAACAAAAAAACATATTTCGAACGATTTACATCAATAGATAGCGTGATTTCTGAGGAAGGTATCAGTGTATAGCTGTATAACAAATGTAGTGTGATTTCATACCAAACTAAGATTGTTTGATATTAAAACCTAACAATATTTTGACCAATCCGTGAATCGAGACTCTTTGGTCGGCGGCCATGCTTGCGGTCACTCGAGTTTAGTGATGGTTAACTCGTGTCAACTCGAGTTGGTCGTAACTCGAGTCAACTCAAGTTAGGCGTATTTAGTGATGGTTAACTCGTGTCAACTCGAGTTGGTCGTAACTCGAGTCAACTCAAGTTAGGCGTAACTCGAATCAACTCAAGTTAGGCGTAACTCGAGTCAACTCAAGTTAGGCGTAACTCGAATCGACTCGAGTTGAATTCTCTCTAACTCAAGCCAAAAATACCTACTTAAATAAATGATTCGATTTCAAAAAACATCTTTTTTTTTCTTTAGTTAGTAGGTATAACTCTCCCAATACATTATAAATAAATAATAAAAAAAAAAATAGATACAGATAAAAATATAATTTGTCTGTTCCAATTTTTAAAGTATTTAAGCCAAGCTGAGGGAATAATTTGGAAAAAACAAAAAAATAAACATTTGCTTGTCCATCCAGTTAACTCGAGTTACGTAATTCGAGTTCAACCCGACTTACGTGGATTTTAACTCGGATTAAATCGAGTTTTGTTTTTTCCGAGTTGGCCCATCACTGCTCGAGTTACGCTACGGACACACGACGCGATTTTCACCCGAGCTCGCAGCGGTGGAATAATATAGATTTATTTTCAAAACTCACAAGGCCGAGTATCGACCAATATCGCAGAGCGCGGCGGCTGCGGGTTACGGCCGCGCCTGCCAGTGGTGCAGCGGGAGCCGCAAACAATCGCAACCGTCGCGGCCGAAAACGAGCCGAGAAATGCGCTTTGGTTTTTTAACCGACTTCAAAAAAAGGAGGAGGACACAATAAAATCTAAATTAGTTAATGGTCACAGCTGGTATAATCCATAATAAAATTGTAAACAGCTCAATAATGTTAGGTATCTATTAAGGTTTTAATGAATAATTTTGTTTAAAACTTGTGGCACCGACTTCTAACCTATCAGTGGGTGTGTAAGCTATAATACTTATGACCACTAATAGTTATTTTTTTCCTTTTTAGTTTTTACTTTTTGCTTATCATTAGTTTTTGAAGTCGGTTTTTTTAAATGCAGTTTTTTTAATTTTATTATATACATATCTGTTTTCAAAGGCTGCAGGCTCGCAACCGCGGTGAGCGCGGGAGATAATCGCGCCGTGAATCCTTAGCCTAAGACAGACTTGTCTACCATCCCATCCTTTTAATTATATCACTACATAGTATAAAACAAAGTCGCTATCCGCCGTCAGATTTTGTCCGATTTTGATGCAGTTTTTCTTAATAGATAGAGTGATTCTTAAGTAAGGTTTATATGTATAATACATGCATATTGTACCCGTACAAAGCTGGGGCGGGTCGCTAGTATTTTACATTTTTTTATTATTATATTGAATTCATTGTTTGTTTGTTTGAACGCACTAATCTCTGGAAGCACTAGTCCAACTTGAACTTTTTGTGATGAACAGTCTATTTATCGAGGAAGCTTAAATTATGTTTTGGTGATGTTTTATGAGTTCATATACGCTTTCGAAGTTTACTTTTTGCAATGGTTCACCAGATATTTTTTGTTTTATTTTATTTCTTTGTAAAACTATTGAATTACCGAGACAGACCCATTTTATTTCGGGACGAAAACGACATTTCCACGGCGTATATATTACTGCTTACCGTATGAAGTATCCTCTGCATCTACCAGTTTTTATTGGCTCCAAGCAGTCAGGATCTGTAAAAATAACATCAGAAATACATAGTACCTAACTACCTACGCATAGGTAGTCGCACTTGCGACCACTCGATCAACAAGGCAGTCGCGACGTAAGAAACTCAATGCAAGAAACCCTATGGTTATTCTTTTTTATGAGGTTTACCATATGATTCTTGTTTACGTTGTGTAAATAAATACAATATAGAGGTAATGAACAAATCAAACATCAAATTAACTCGTCGAGTACCGGTTTTGTAGACACAATTATAGAACAATAGGTTGCGATCACCGGTGACCGCTTGGTGTTTGACAGTTTAATACAGTTTAAAGTTGACGGCGTCAACTGAGCTGGCGACCAGTCGCAGTTGATGCCGCTCGTTCATGAACTGAACCGGAGTGATACGCGCTCTTAAAAAACCTGGGTGAAACAACGCTTGCTTTGCACATGGTTTTAATTACGTTTGATATTTCGAAAACATAAGAAATATTTACTCACCTGTAGCGCCGAATATGTATTGAACGGACAATACCAAAAACACAAGGAAATATAAGAATTTCATTTTAGAAAATAATGTAGTTTTAATAGGTACTAAGTACAAAATATAAATAGAAAGTAATTATTGAGCTAGTTTCTCTTACTTATATATGTCTTTTCTGTATCAACTGACAATAACTTATCCACAGGGTTGAACTCAAGGTGAGAATATATAAAATGAGGAAAGTTAATAAATAATAAAATAATTTTAAGTGTGGGAAAGTGTAATGAGATCGGCGACGGCGACCTCTCGCGTTCGGCTCTAGTTCGGGTCATGATACAGAGCCATCAGACCACCACAGATGAGGCCCAATAGGGCTGATGCCAACACGGAGCCGCGAAGAACTTAACGGGTTGCCGGGGCTCCGGCTCGAAGTGCAAGAGTAGGAACGGGGTGGTTTTTAGTCAGTAAAAGTCTGACACTAAAGACGGGAGAAGTCATTCGATGATTTTCCCCCTTAAAAAAACGTTATTAATCTAAGTACCTACATAACCTCTGTAATTGTAAGAAAATTCTAAAGGAAGAACTTCAAGACATATTCTATCTTCACAGGGAAATTAATATTAGTTCCTTTATAATAATTGTAGTAAGCTCCCATAATTACATATTATCCTTATTATACGTATTAAGCATACAATTTAAGTATTATTTTATATCAATATTCCTTATATTAATATCCGGCTCGAAGGACCAATGTTGGGAATGGGTCTCTTCAATAATAGTGGACTGTATTTAAAACTGGTATATTAGAATTAAAAACGGTAAGATTGTGTTGTGTCGTCCGCGAACGATCCCAAGAAGAAAAAGATGGTGGCTGGTGGCCGTGCGCCGCTTCCGCTCGCGTCGCCCTCCCCCGCGCGCCCCGCCTCTCTTCCGGGAGCGTCCGGCTGCGTTCACGCGCAGACAATAACTAAATACATATTGCCATAATTTACCTTAAATGATTAGCAATTAAGTACTTATGATTATATAACAATGTTTATTATGTTTACCTAAATGCATGAAACACAGGATGTCCCAGTTCACCTTATATTGTGAATTTTATATAGCTTCAAGCAAAACTGTATATTTGTATACAGTTTTGCTTATATTTCTATTACGTTAAACATTTATTATTATTTATTTATATTTAAATCACTTTTATCGCCACAGGTACACCTAATACAATAAATGCAGGTACATATAATAAGTAAATTTAAAAACTACTCTAAGCTTCATCAACTTAAAAGACTCGTACTGGCAGTTTGTAATTTTTTTTAATACTTTTTTGACAAATTCGGCTCTGTTAATTATAAAATGTTTCCTTAACCACAATTTAAAACATTGCATTTCAAATACCGTTTACAATTGAAAATGCATTTCATTTGCATATCAGATGCAAAAATATCTAACTACTTAACATTTCGGTAATTATTTACATAATATTTTAATTAGAAATACCACTATTACAGGTACTATACTCGTAGCTTCGTCAACTCATTGTCTGTGACGTTTTCTAGCTACATTAAACTGATTATGCAATGTTTAAAGGTCTATATATATTGTTAGAAATCAGAAGCAGGTTGAATTTTTTAAAAAGTACAATTTATTACCTTAAAACTAAAATTATTACACAATTATCCAAAAATTAATGACACAATCATCAAAAAGAACAAATTCTTAAATAAACAAAATGAAAACAATCTACCCTCGCTAAATATACAAAATTACAAAACAAAACCTGAATGTATGTTGCACGACGGATGGTGACCGAATAGGGACAAGGCGGCCGGTATTCCGCCGCTTATATAGTAACTGTCATCCTAACCCCACTCTTAACCTAAGTAATATCCAACACGGCCTTTCCTGACATCCTGACGTCCCCGTCAGGTAAATCAAAAGGCGCCAGTCTTCAATTCAGATCGGGCATGTCAAGTCCTCGGGAAGCCTCTGGTTCCAGGGGATCTGGTCGTGATGAGGGCCCTGGTACTGGTTCTGGTGCAGGCATAGGCCCGGGCAGGTCTGGTGCAGGCGACTCTAACTGAGGTGGCTGGTCTTCAACCACACTACCACCGTTATCATCGTCATTGTCTGTGGAAGAAAACCACAAGTAAACGTCAAACCATTAGTAAACGGCGAGGGCACCAGCCCATGTTGCCATCATGCAGGTTAATTCGTGTTAGTGTTAAAATAAACAACTAAGTATAGGGTTTGAACGTCGTTGTTTAGTAGTTCAGTTACTTATCTTTACCTGTAGTTTATAAATTAATAACTTCAGGTTTCATAAACACTAACGTTCAGACAACTTAGGTACTAAAATAACTATGACTAGCATGCTTAATAAAGAACACTATGAGCGCACATCTCACAGCGACTGATCGGTTTGCAAAGCCGACCAGCTTCCAGAGGTCATGGGTACACCCTACAGGTGCACCACACTGACAGAAGGCCAAACAACACTACTATTCCCACGAATAGTAAGAATCTCCACAGAGTCCAAAAGGCAACATTGCCCCAGGACATTTCTTCAAGGGTACCACACAAGTTGGCCAACGGCACTTACACAGTGGCACACCTACCCTCGAAGAAACCAGCACACGACTCGGGTGTACACTCGCTTGCCCAAGGTACCATGTACTGCGCAGCGGCAAAGGCTGTTTTACCATAAGA